CCTAGCCCATCATGCAAGGAGCGGGCACTACCAATGCCACAGCAAAGTTGAATTAAAAAGAAAGAGTGTATCAGTAACTTGTACATAAAGGGATGACTTAGGAACCTAAGTTTAGCTAGTTGTTTCAGGCTCTGGATCCCATTTTCCCACAGAGACCTTCTTTAAACCTGAGTTAGGTGCCTAAGTCCAGAAGGGGAGGAGAGGTTTCAGACATACCCAACCTTCGCTGTTTCCTATCACTTGGTCTGCTCAATGTGCTGAATGTTGTAAATCTCAGTCCTGAGAGTGTAAAGGGCTGGACACATGAATAATTTACCCTGGGGCAAAAAGGGATTTAGCTTTACTGCATGCCATCCACTCCATGGTACATTTTCTCTCTGGTAAATGAAAGCCAAGCCATGGTAGTTAGCTATCTGTGAAAGAGGAGTAATTACCCTGGGTTACCTTTCACCTGTCATGGGATAACAGTGTTCAGTAACATGGGCAGTATCTGAGGAGCAGTTGATGTTTAGTAAAGTCCTGCCTCCTCTTATCCCGAGGCAAATTATTATTTATTAGCCACATCCTAAATTATTCAATGTATCGGAAACATAGGTGACTACTTTGAGCTTTGGACCACAGCTTTATACTCCCCCTTCCTCATTCTTTTTGGTCCCATGCATCTTGCCTACTTGGCATCCTAATATCAGACTCCACCTCTGGTGCCAGGTGCCTAACAGATACAGGAATACATGGTATCACTAGATTTAAGTCCTTTTGAGGTTAGGGGCCTTATTAGCTTCAATGGGTTCATGAATTCACATGAAGAATCAAGCCTTCAGTAAGCAAACACTGAAAACACTGTTTTCAACTCAAGGCCGAGAGGCCTAACTTGAAAACCCGGCCTACTGGAAGCCCAGTGGAGTTACTAACTGAAACAAGGCTGTTATTTTTATAAAGTACAGACAAACTAAAAATACCTCCAAATATGATCTAGAATTAATGGCATTCAAGGCAGATTTTAGCAGCACTGCAGGAACACCACAGAAGACAGTGTGAAAATTAACAGATGCACATTAGGCACACTACACACCCACACACGGAAAGTGCAATTCTGTAATAGCTAATGATAATTTTGTAAGCCTGAAAGATGCAGGGTGAGATGGTGCATGTGAAATTGTTTGAACAAAATGAGCAGTGTGCTAAAAAGATCCCTTGACCCAGGGGGGAGGTGGGGGGGGGCGTCTACATTTTCTTTTTGGAGGCAACAATTCCTCAGCTTGTGGAAATAAGAGTGGGTACATTTGCTTCAGCAGAACTACACCATTTCCCACTAGCTAATAGTGTAGCCCTATGACCCTTTATCTTCCTTTGTCAAAGAATAATGTTCATCTGAGGTTATGCAAATGCCAAAGAGTATCTTAGGAATGCTTTTTTCCTTCTTAGCAGCATGACTGTATTTAACAATATTTAGATTTGTTACTGTCTATCTTTCTCCCTTTGTATCGTCATAGAATTGAAATGAAGGATTCTCATTCCTCAACTCCTAAGTAAAAATCTTACTCGGGTGCACACAAAAATGATCAAATCTTTTGAAAGAAGATCACTTTTCAGATAATTGTAAAACAATGGTGGAGCAAATTGTGTTCTCGCATGATTTTCTCCATTGCATTTTTAAGAGAGTTACATCTACCTTTATGATAACACCAGATCTAAGCATTAAAATATGAAGTACAAATTTTCTTAAGGGATCAGATTAAAATGAAGTAGTTGATTCAGCAGCCAGAACTCATCTGCAAGACAGTTTGATTGTTCAAAACAATACTACATTGGAGGAGGTGAGCTGTGGTAATATGTCTTTTTTAATGTTAATCACATCATTTTTATGACTGAAACTTTACGATCGGCACCTTTTTCAGGTGGCATACACCAACAGTTTAGATATTTCAGGATAAGCTTATGCTTCAATAATGATGCACATAAAGGGAACTACATAAAATAGAGATGGATTGGCCATGTTTTGACATGAGATATTGTATACGTGCAGCTAATATGACTAGATTCAATATAAACCTTCCCTTAACTTCAGTATTGTGGAAACCTGGGAAAACAATTTTTCAAGGTTTCTATCTATTTAGAATTTATTCCAGTGCTCAAGCTATAAAAAATGCAGCAAGGATGCATAACCTGTCCAAATGTTTCATTGAGATCTTATAGCCTTCATGTGAGCAGGTTCAAAACGAGCCAGGTTCTGCTGCTAGCTATTAGTACTGCTTTTGGGTATAAGAGCAACCAGCAGAGCAGTCAATTATAGTCTTCAATGAATAGCCCCATTGACTTTAATGATCCTACTCATAGGTTTAAATGATTATTCACAGTTATTCACAGAATTATAGTAAACCAAGCTATCCCCAGCCATTGGTCTTGGGCAAACTTTTTCTTTTGTCTCCCTTCACACAGGTGTGTTGTTTTGGTCTCAGCCTAACAGTAAATTTTGAGTTAGCTATAACCGCCAAAGTCCGTAGCAGTTTGTGTGCTTTCAATGCACCGCCAAATATCTCTCCCAAGCTCATACTTAAAACGTATGCAAAACACCATTCAATGAACAAACACTGAGTTTTGAATCCTTAACAAAAAATAAAAGCAGACAAGTTTTGTCCGTGTTTGGATTTCAGAACAAAAGTGTTGCAACATCTTAATAGTCACTTTGACAGAACTGGGGAGAAGTAGAGTCCCTCTGGGAAGTTCACACCTTTAAATTGGCTACCAAGGAAATGGCAACTTTCCATAGCGTGTGAACCAAAATGAAGCCTGGGGGATGATATTTGTCTGAATGGTTTACAGTATCCTAATGTTCTGGCTTATCATCACAGATCCAGAAACCCACAGTAGGCAAAATACCCCTCGTGCATTTTACAATCTCTCTTGGTTTTTAAAAGGAACAGGGTTTTGTGGTGAGAAAATAACTGAAAATAAGCAATATGATACAAGATTTATTTCTCTCTTTGTTGCAATTATACAGTTCCACATTCCATAAGACAAGAAGGGTGTTCTGCGACGTGATATTTTTGGCCCTTGGAATTATCTCTGTGCATGCAAGAGATGATAAAATTTGAAAGTATTGAGGCTGAAGTATCTTTATCCCACTTCCCATTCCAATTCTTTTCCCTTCCTGCTGCTTCAATTCATCAGTTATTTCAAAAGTACTCCCTGCTGTATTTGTTACATTTAATATCTGCAAGAAGCCACTTCCAGAAATGCATTAACTACTATTAAGATGTTTAAAGAAAAACTATCTTTTGGGTTTATATTAATAAGTTTAAAGCAAGATATTTAATGTTTCTTAGACAAATTTTTTGGCTCTTTTTCTTAGAGCACAAATGACAGTGCCTTCCTCTGTGTCCGCCATTTCATGCGAAGCATTAAAAAGGTTTTCCTATCTGACTCTGGAATCAGGTGCCCTTTAGTATAAATGGATAAATGAAGATACATTTTCCAAATATTCATTGTGGATGGTTTGGTCTGTCTTTATCTCTTTTAATTGGCTAGTGACAACAGAAGGCCTGAATCTCATACATTTCATAATTGAAGGCTAAAACAAGGCATCAGGTTTATTCCAGATCTGAATGTCCTGGGCTTTGGCTGCAATCAAAGCGTGTAAGGAACAGTCGTTTACACACAGTTTGAATGGCACTTGACTCAATTAATCCTGATTGTCCAGGGGAAAAAGTGTTATCGGGATACTTCACGGGTACTTGTAGTGGAACAATGAACTTGTACCTCTGCAGGATCCTACAATAAAAGGCTTTCTCTCAGGACAAAGCCAAGGTCTATTTTTAGCCTAAATTTATGGACCAAAAAACGGTTTTTTGATGAGTAACTGAGGAAGAAAATTAAATAAAATGGTTTAAGGTATCTGGGAACTGAAGTCAAGTCCCTTTCAGGGGAACACAAGACAGAAGTTTTACAATTTCTTCAAATGAGTCAAATTATCTCTATGTATACATATGTATATCTCCCTTTCTTCTCAGAAGTGTGAATGTCTGCAGTAGAATATGGTCACTAGTTCTTTTGCTGGTGGCAGTTTTGGTTGGGGTTTTTTTGCTTTGGGGATCAATCGTTCAGAGATCTTCTATACATCTACAGCTACATTTCATAGTCACTCATGTGCATCTGATTTTAAGAACATCTTTATGCCTCTTTACCTTTTGAAGCTTTTATCAATCAAAACTTTGCTGACTCCTATTTTAGCAAAATAAGGTGGCCAGAGTTGAAATGATGCAGCCAGCTTCTTGGGACAGCTGCCACACACAGGGGCAGCGGTGTCTTCTAGGTCCACCATTGCATGGCAGCAGCTGTTCAGCTTGATCCATGCTTTTCTGTCAAGATTGTGCCCAATGAGGAACTAGTTTGGTGTTGGTTTAAAACACATGGGTGTATCTACACATGTATTAATGCGCTTTATTTAGTGCACATTAAATCCAGTAGCTCTGGGCACTTATACACATGCTCTGGAAGGAGGAGAGGAGGGGCACTTTAATGAGAGCAAATCTGAGACAATTAAAGCACCCAGAGCATCACATGTATCACCATCCCTGTGCTGAAATATGGCAGCAGGAGCACTTTAACTAAAGCTTGTTGAACAAGCCCTTGCTGTCATTTTTCAGCACAGGATAATGATATACATGATGCCGGAGTCTGCTGGAGTGCAGTAATTACCAAGCTCCAGCAGACTTGATTATTCAAGTCTGCTCTGACATCCTGTAATTACAGCATGCTGGAGCAGCCTCACTGCACATCTACAAGCGCCCTCTGTTGTGAGGTGCTACGAAAATGCACATTAGCCTGTCTTAATGTGCTTTAACTAAACAGCATGGTTTTTAAGTGATGCTTAATGTACATTAGCCTATTTTCATGCGTATTAACTAAACGGCACATTTTTAGTGATGCTTTAATGTGCATTAAAATAAGCTAAAATAGGCTATATTTGCCCATGCTATAGGAATATATTTCACCTTTTCCAGTGGTTGGCCCACTCTATTAATGCCCATAGGTTTGCTTCAGCATCCCCAATCTCTTCTAGAAGCATGTGGGCTTTGTGTATAAATGGTTTACAACTTTTGAGCCTCTTAAGCCTCCATCTGTATGGGTTTTCAGTTGACAGTTGATGGAGCAGGTGATTTTCACTATCTTTTGCCTCTATGGCCAATAATGATGTTAGGCTCTGTCTTATATCACTTGGTCTAATTCCCAAGAGTAAAGGGAGTACAGCTCTATATGTGTAAGTTGTGCAGCCTGTTATCAGTCTCAGTGCACTGTTAAGTACAGTTAAGTACAGTGTTGAGCTGTTTAGTGTGACAATTTCTGGACCCTACAGGAGGACAATATTTTGGGGGGTCCTATACCATTGTAAGTGTGGTGGTTCTAAGCACCTTGAAGTTGGCACCCCATGCAGAGTTGGCCTTAGGGAAAATGGTGCCCTGGGCCTGCCCAACACCCCTCCCTGGTGCCCCATCCCCCCACCCCCTCCATGTCACTGGTGCTGCTGCCCCGCTGCTCCATCCAACAGGCCAGGGAGCTCGGCAGGTCATCTGCCTGTGATAGGGACAGTTATGTAGAGGGAGAACTTCAGTTTAGTACTGGTACATAAACAATAACCACTAAATTCAAGACCCTCCCAGAAAAGTTCACCTTTTGAACTTTGGCCTAAGCTAGCATGCTCAGGAAAGAGCTCAAAAAGAGCTGGAAAGTTCTGGGGAGAAAGTAATCAACACCTTTCAGTGTGCAAAGTGGTGTGATGGGGATCTCAATAAGAATAAAAGGGGGTGAAAAAGGTCCCTCAGGGTCTCCAGTGAGCTGAGTTCAGGCAACCTCCTGAAAGGGATCCAAGGACATGGAGTGCCAGGGATTGGGATCTGAGGAGTAGATCATAATGTACTTTGGTTTAGGGAGAGAAGAGCTCATTGAAATGGAGCACCCCTCAGAAGACCCTTCCTAGTTGAGTTTGTGACTCTTCAGTAGAGTCTTGTGTAAAACTCTATAGTAATAGTAAGAGCATCTTAAGGCAGCACCCCAAGCATCTTAAGGCAGACTTTACTACTGACCTGTTGAATGTGATGTTTATAGGTGAGGGAATGGTCTAATGTGACTCCTATGTGGTTTGGGGTATGTTTATGGGGAAATACGTGGTTGCCTACTCTGATATTCAGTGTGCTCTTGGCTGGATGATTGTCCAGGTGCAAGAGTGATGATACTGATTTATTGATGCTCAACTTTAACCATCACTTGTGGAGATAGTCAGTTCATATCCTGTATAGTTCTGTCACGTCTATTCCTTGGGCACTTATGGCAGCATCATCAGCTTACATGTATCACTTAGATGTTGTATGAAAGAAGTATGAGATATATGCATAGAAAAATACTGGTGCTAGCACTGACCCTTGGGGGACTCCATTCTTCAGAGTCCGTACTTTTTTTTCTCTTTGGCTGGTAGAGAGTTTGAATGATCTGCTGGAGATCATGTTCATGATGAAAGCGTATAGTTTGCAGACAGGTATCATAGACTGCAGTTTATATTTGAGGCCTTGTTGCTATACTGTGTCATAGGTGGCATAGAGGTCAATAAAAATCACCCTTGTTTTTTGCCTAATTTCAAATAGATTTTCTATTTCAGATGTAAATAAAGTAGCTTGGTCAGTAGTGAAACCACTTTTTCCAAAAGCCAGCTTGTTCTTTAGGGAGCTGGGGATCAATGATGTTCTCTATTCTATTCTATTCTATTCTATTCAGGATTATGCACTCCATGAGTTTGTGTGTAACAGAGTAGTTTCATAGTTTCATAGTTGGTAGGGTCAGAAGGGACCTAAGCAGATCGTCTAGTCCGAACCCCTGCCATGGGCAGGAAAGGATGCTGAGGTCAAATGACCCCAGCTAGGTGACTGTCTGCTTTTGAAGAAGTAGTGAGATGGGTCAGTAGTTCTTTGGATCCTCTGGTGGTTTATTGGGTTTCAAGATAGCAATGATGTCAGCTTCTATCTGGATTTTTCAAAGTCTGTTAAACTTTCTAGACATTTATACATGAATATCTGAAGCCGTCTTTCCATTCCTTTTTTAACCTTAAAGGTTTCCTCAGTGAGAATAAATATGACCTTTAAACTGTCTGTCATAATATTTTATTTACCTAGAAGTCGTCTTGTTGCCCTGAGTTTCACCTTGTCTATAGTAATAGTATTCATGCTATGAAGATGAGCTAAACTGAATGCTGAAATCAGATAAGACAGTATTATGGTTGAACAAAACGTGTGGGCTCAGACCCTATAGTACTTACAAAGAAAATACATATCTCCATCCATGGCTTTAAACTAGACTAGGGCTGTCAACCTTGCACCCCACAGGCTACACATGTCCCACAAGGGATTAAGTTGCAGCCCCCGGGCTCCTACCTAGTCATCATCCCCAGCAATGTTCCAGCTGTAATAGCAGCCAGAGCTCCTGGACGACTCCTCCCTCCTCTGACTTACAGTCCCTGCCCTCCCCCCGGGCAGCGCTTGGGGTAGTGTGGCATGGCATGGGAAACTGAAGCCTGGGGCTGTGCAGGCATGTGGTGCAGCAGTGAGTGAGTGGCACCTACATGAGCACTGCTAATGGAGTGGCTCCAACATGGTACAGAAGTAAAAATGTGGAGCTTTTAGAGAGGCTCCAGAGGCAAATAACAAAGATGATGAAAGGGCTGAAATGCAAGCTGTATGAGGAAAGGTGAGGTTAGGTTGAAAAAAACCTGCTTGCTTAGCTAGGCATACTTAGTTTGGGGTAAAGGCAGTTTATAGCTGTCTTCAAATATCTGAAAAGTTTCCATAAAGAAGAGGGATAACAACTCTTCTTCCTGGACACTGAGGGTAGGGATGAAGTAATGGCTTTAAATTGCAGAAGAGTAGACTTAGATTAGCTAACGGGGCGCATCTAGACAAGACGCTTAATGTGCAGGGGACTAATTCTACTGCACATTAGTGTGTCATGGCAGAAGCCATGATAACGTGCTAATGCGCAGTAGAATTAGTCTACTGCACTTTAAGCGTCACAAAAAGGCTGTTCATCTTTGCTACTGTGCAGTAGTTCTGGGTACTGCATATTTATGTAGTACCTCATATTAAAGTTACTAAACTTCATGCGCGGTAGCAAAAGTGCATTAATACACATGTAGATGCACCTGGGAGGTGGCAGGGAGGAGTGTTGGAGGACTTCTTTACTGTTACAACAGTAAAGCACTGGAATACTGCCCAACAAAATGGCAGAATCTCCTTCACAGGTTTTCAAGAAGAGGTTGGACAATCATTGTCCAGGGAAGCTTTAGAAACAGCATTCCTGTGTTCATGCAGATGGTTGGACCACATGAACCTTGAGTTCCCTTTCAACCTTTTCTTTCATGACTTCTAATATTTGGGATGGGGGCTATCTATTATACTAAATTAATATTCTTCTATTCCAGCACCCAAATGGCCTCTTTGAATTTTTATTTTATTTTATCTTGTTCCTGTGCCTACAGCTCATGTCTTGAAGTTATTTTTCCTACACAAACCCCCAAATCCCTTGTCTGGTTAACAGCTGTATATAGCTATTTCAAATGACCTCGACCATTCTGTTCTGGCATGTTGCCCATAAACTTAGCTTAGCACTGCATGCATTCAACTATAGTTTCTAATTACTGACATGGTCAGTGAAAAGGTTCAAAGCCTCCTGACACTGGTAGCATGTATGATGGATTCCTTGAACAGGATTGCCGTTCCATTCAGCTCAGCTTAATTAAGGTAAGGGACGTGATATCAGAGCAAATCCAGCCAAATATATTTTATTTAAGCAGACAGGTTGTAACAAAGACTTGCATGGAAAAGAAAAATTGATAAATGGCAGGAGAAGACACCACTCATATCATATAACTACCTTATTTTCTTTTCTGTCAAATTCTAACTACTTTTTCTCAGTTCTCCTCCCCCTTCCCTCCCCTCATGAGGATAGCTAGTGTGTCAGAGTAAGTGTGTAATGCACATGCTTGTGAGCCTGGGGAGTTGCCTACATTATAATTATCTCTATCATGACTTAACAGAGCCAACTGCCAGCGGGAACAGCATTTTCCAAAAGCAATCACTAGATAGAAAAGATAATGGATCAGAAACTGGATACTGCTGGCAGCAAATATAACTCCTGGGTCCTTATACATCTGTTGGAGAATACTTCATAAAACATTATAGTAGGAGAAATGGGCCCTGACAGCTACTACGTTGTCTCTTTGCAGGTGAGCATGGAGGTGACAGACATGAACTCAAATAAGAAAACCTTTTGTTGGACTCTCTAATTTACCTCCCAGGAAGACTACGTTATTCAGGAGCGCTGAAATTGGTCCATCTAGAAACGGAAGATTGAAGGACTTGGAGTGAAGAGAAGGGAAACCGAAGCAAGTACCAATGTGATTGTGTCACAGCCATTTTGCATATTAGATTTGGAGAGGTGAGGAGAAAAAAGGCTGTGGCTGAGAGGAACAAAAATAGGTGAAGGGGAAAAGAAAAAAAGAGACACATCAGTACTGGGATAAATGTCAGCGATAAAAAGAAGTAACTGAACTGGCACTGTCTGTTATGGAGGTGGGAGCTCCTCAGCAGCTAATCAATTATGTTTTGTAGGACAGCCCAGGTAGATCAAACTTTATTTAGTTTATCATTTTTAGGAATCTGATCTAAGCAGATACAGAAGGGACACATCACCTAATCTGGGGCAGAGTTGCCCTTAAAAGAATTAGGGGCAAAACTATGTCTCTCTCCCACTAGTTTAAGTGTCATTTGTTCAGAGTTACCTGGGGTAGTTGCTTGTCACTAACTGCTCCTTGTTACCTAGTAGCAAGGTGCTACCATATCTTTTATTGAATTCAGCTGCTCCAAAATAGTTTCTGCTTCATTCAGTCTAGCTTCTGGTGTAATCCACATCAGGGTGTAAAGCTAAGTTTACAGCCATTATAGCAGCGTTAATCTGTTGTGTGTCCAAACCCTGAGTGATGCAGGCTGAAGTTGCATCTGTGGCTAAAACATGCGAGAACTGTTGAAATAGGATTTCAAAGGAAAGGCAGAAAAGGGCATATCATAGTTTGCCCAGCATTATTCCAAACAAAATAACATGTTCATTATTCAGATTACCTACTTTGGAAAAATACTTTTCGGATGATGGGTTGGTGCTGAATTGCTCATTTTGATGATTAGCGATTTTCTATTTGTGGTCTGATTGAGCACCTAAGTCTCACAGGCAATTATCCATTTCCCAGATGGGTGACTGTCACAATTTAGACTGGACTATAACAAAGAGATGAACATGTGCAATGAATACACGGGGGGGGGGGAGAGAATTGTTCTAACAAATAATCAGCTGTGAAGATTTCAGAAATTCAGTGGGAAGTATGTTGGATGAGCTTATTGGACCTACCTGGATTTACAACCACTGCAAATCTGGCCCATGCACCAAATTCTACTTTTACTCAGTATTCCTTCACCTCAGAGAAATCAGCTGTTTTCTTCAGATTCTTTAGACCACAATTCAACAAAAGACTTCCACAAGTGCTTAAAATATTGTCTTGTCTCATTGACTTCAGTCAGAACCTATTCTTGTAGTTAAACATTGGCCCAGCCACAGTTTTCAGTTCCTGAGACACTACCAGAGTATAGCTGGATGCTGACAACGAGAGCAATGATATTACAAATGTGTGTAATATTATTTAACATAGCATCGCTGCTCCTGTGGGCAGAATTGTGGCTAATTGTGTGATTTTACACAAAGGACACACATCTACAACTTGCATCAAGTAGTATCTATTGAAGAGGACAAAGGTAAGGCAGTTTCTAGGCTAAACACTTTGTAATGAATTTAAAGATATGTGTGACTATTATGGTCTCAATCAGGTTAGACTTCTGCCCTTAAAGTGAAGTAAAGAACCGAGTGAAAAAACCCGCCAAAATGTAGAGGGTCGGAGAAAATGCTTGACTTTGAGAGACTTGGAGTTCATTCTGTTTAATATATCCAATGGGGAAATAAAAACAAGACTGGGACCTGATTATGGTATATAAGAATATTCATGAGCAAAATGGGTACTAAAGCGCTCTATAATATAATGGAGGAAGGTGGATGAGCTAATCTGATTTTCACAGTGAGGATGATTAGCTATTGCAAGAGACTCATGAGGGAAGAGATCAATTTTCCATTCCTTGATGGCATCAGCTAAAGACGAGAAGCTTTTGTGGAAGAATTGCAAATTATTGGGCTGTATGTAAAAGTAACTGAAGGAAATTCTCCAGCCTGTGATAATCAGGGGGTCGGACTATGGATACTTTCTGACTTTAAAATCTATGAAAAATGTTCTACATAGAAATGGTCTTAAGCACCAGCAGTAGTGAGATTTCAAGTCCAGAGTATTTCAATGAGTTTGGCATTGCTTTTTCTTTAGCTGAAATTCCCTTAGATGTCTTTTTTTCGTTATAGTTGTGCAGCACCTAACACAGTCAGATCTGGCCCATGAAACACTTCCACAATCCAGCAAACAGAATCCATTATTTATTTTCAGTCTTTTACACTTACTATAAAGTTCCCGTTGAATAAATTAAGCCATATCATGAGACCAAAGTTGTGTATATATTATTCCTTTCAAAGGACAAAGTAAGGAATAAATTAAATATTTATAGAAAATAAAATAATG